CTTCAAAAGGCCTCAACATCTCAACCTCAAAAGGCCTCAACATCTCAATCTCAAAAGGCCTCAAAAGGCCACAACATCTCGGCCTCAAAAGGCCTCAACATCTCGGCCTTCAAAAGGCCTCAACATCTCAGCCTCCAAAGGCCTCAACCGTTCAGCCTTCAAAAGGCCTCAACATCTCGGCCTTCAAAAGACCTCAGCCGTTCGGCCTTCAAAAGGCCTCAACATCTCGGCCTCAAAAGGCCTCAACATCTCGGCCTTCAAAAGGCCTCAACATCTCGGCCTCCAAAAGGCCTCAACCGTTCAGCCTTCAAAAGGCCTCAACATCTCGGCCTCAAAAGGCCTCAACATCTCGGCCTTCAAAAGGCCTCAACATCTCGGCCTCCAAAGGCCTTAACCGTTCGGCCTTCAAAAGGCCTCGACATCTCGACCCTCAAAGGCCTCAATCGTTCGGCCCTCAAAGGCCTCAACCTTTCGGCCTCCACGGCCTCAACCTTTCGGCCACTGCCTGGTCTCAACTTGGCCTTCGTATGGCCTCACCCACTCGGCCATTAAAGGCCTTAACTTGGCCTCCAAAAGGCCTCAACATCTCGGCCTCCAAAGGCCTCAATTTCTTGGTCGTTCGGCCTTCAAAAGGCCTCGACATCTCGGGCCTCAAAGGCCTTAACCGTTCCGTCTCCAAAGGCCTCAACCATTCGGCCTTCAAAAGGCCTCAACATCTCGGTGTCAAAAGGCCTCAACATCTCGGCCTTCAAAAGGCCTCAACATCTCGATCTCCAAAGGCCTCAACCGGTCGGCCTTCAAAAATGCCTCAACATCTCGGCCTTCAAAAGGACTCAACATCTTGGCCTCCAAAGGCCTCAACCGTTCGGCCTTCAAAAAGGCCTCGACATCTCGGCCCTCAAAGGCCTTAGTCGTTCGGCCTCCAAAGGCCTCAACCTTTCGGCCTCGACGGCCTCAACCTTTTGGGCCACTGCTTAGCCTCAACTTGGCCTTCGTATGGCCTCACCCGCTCGACCGTTAAAGGTCTTAACTTGGCCTCTAAAAGGCCTCAACATCTTGGCCTCCAAAAGGCCTCAACATCTCGACCTCCAAAGGCCTCAACCGTTCGGCCTTCAAAAGGCCTTAACATCTCGGCCTTCAAAAGGCCTCAACATCTCGGCCTCTAAAGGCCTCAACATCTCGGCCTCCAAAGGCCTCAACTGTTCGCGGCCTTCAAAAGGCCTCAACATCTCGGCCTCTAAAGGTCTCAACCGTTCGACCTTCAAAAGGCCTCGACATCTCGGTCGTCCATGACATCATAATTACTTAGCCAAGTTTGTAAATCAACATCCGGCCCCGACCATTCGGTTACGGGCACCTGCCCTCAGTCATCCGGTCACAACTTGACCTCAACTTTTCAGCCCCAATGGCTTGGCCATCCGTGGCCTCAAGTACTTTGCCAAAGTTGGCATTAAGCATTCTGTTATTTGGCCTCACAACTGTTCTTCTTCAAATGGAATCCCGGTCGACCCCACCGTTAGTAAGCAACAGTGGATCTCCATGATTTGTTATCCGTTTTTGCCTCTCATATACTCAAACAAGCAGAAGGGACTCAGAGACGAAAGCAAAGCAAAGAACTCGTCCTTTTTAGGAAAGCCATCTACAAAACCCCTTCGCATAGTTAACATCATGCTCGGGCTTGAGGGGCTAATGTACCGTACGGTCCCCAATGTATCGTACGGTCTCTCACGCACCCAAAACCGAGTCCAACTCTCCCAAAGGTCGGTATACCATATGGTCCCCCAACCCCGTGAACCGAACGGTTCTATCCAGGTTGACCACCCATACCGGCCGACCGGCCATATGGTCAGATTACAAACGATAATAGCTCATTAAAGCCCCTAATGGAGATTAAGGCATGATTGGGCTGCCATTAGGCCGGCAAAAGGTAAAAGTCCATTACAACCAGTATAAATAAGAGTCACAGGTATGACTTCTGGAGAGGATTGCATAGGATGCACTATATACATGCGTTACTTACCGCTTAGTTACATTACTAACTTGAGCGTCGGAGTGTCTTTTATAGGTACTCGCCCGGCTCGAAGGAGGAGGGAGAACGAACAACTTGGAGCATGGGAAGATCAAGGTGGTTGTCCGACCTTCAATGAATTTGTTTTCCCCTCAACGTGCTCGTCCAGTCATCAAGAATCGTTCGGTCTCGAAACCATCTCGGAATGTTTTAAGGGGTCTTCAACTTTCGTCCAGCTCCCAATGATAGCCCGCTTAGAGTAAAGTATGTCCGGTCTTCGTCCTGCAACGTGTTGAACAGTGTTCGTCCATCCGGTCTCTAACATCCACCTAGTTTTCAATACAATTAAGAGTGTTTTAGTAGGGTCACATCAAACCCGATCGAAACATTAAAGTTGAAGATCACGAGTGCACAACAGAAAAATGTGAATTATTTAGGAACCTCTAAACGTTTATTCTAGGTATTGTACAAGGAAAAAAATGTAATGAAGTAGGTGTTTCATGAATAATGATTTAATTTCAATTTTAATTCAACAATAACATTTTAGAGATTCATAAAGCGAAAGATATTTGGAAAGATTTTAAATCAAGATATCCACAAGGAGATTTATTGTGAATTTAAAAGAAGTTTAAACTATAAGGCAAGGTAATTTTTCTTCAATATGATTATCATGCTTCTAAATAATTTTATTTATTATATGTCGACATAAATAGACTATGTGCCACACTTTTTTATGTATCGACATAAATAATTTTTAACAATAGTAGATAATCACACTATATTCACTTGAGTTGTTCTTGTTTGTTCTCACTTAACAATCACTTTAAGATTTTTGTATTCCTTTCTTTTAAAATGTCGTACTTTATAATGGTGACCTCCATATTATTGTCAAAACCATTTTTCATGAACGAACAAATCTTATAAAAATTTTCTATCATGAGAGAAAATCTTGGTTTTTATTATATTTTTTTAAATTATTGCAAACTTATTTCTCAAATAAACTTCCTAACATATGCATTAAAGTGCCATCTTTTGTATTTGTCGACTTTTGTATTTCAAAATGAAAATGTCCAATATCTATTTCTCATCTTGATAAGAAATATTGATTAGTTTTATGTTCGTTTTATGTTATTGATGATCTGATTATATTCTATTTTTCTTTAACAATGGTATAAATACTTACAAGAATGTTCTTATCAATCAATTTTGTTTTTTTAATTATGCATGATTCTATATTCTCCTATTTTTAACACATGGATTTTAACTTCTCTAAACTCAAATTTATTTATGAGCGCAATTAAGTTAAAGTATGTGTAAGAAAACATCTTTTATACTCACGTATCTTTGTCAAATGGATTTTATTTACTCTAGGATGAAAAGAAACTAAAAACAAACACAAATTTATAAGAAAGTTATAAAATAAAAATGATTTGTTTTAGTATATTTAATAGTCTTACACATTTATGATAGTCAAGACTAATGACATTTAAATACATTTTTCTTTTTTAACCCTCTAAAACGTTTTTTATTGACTTTAACGATGTTATGTCAATCAATTTAAAGTTAAAGTAATATAATATATATCACATTTTTTTAATTAGACAACAATAATATAGTTTAGAGTTTTTTTATTAATCTGACACATCTTTTTATTGATCCTAAGGAGATGTTATGTCAATATATTTGAAATGAAAACAAATGTAATGTAAGAAAGTTTTTAACAACCTAATTAGACAATAACCATATGATTAATATATTCTTCATTAATATATTAGCAAGAATAATGATGAAAAGTTATCAATACATTATAAGTTTCTCCCCACACACTTGGACATACATTAATTTGTGACAAAAAAAAACTTTATATGATATTTTTCTAATTTGTTTTTTAACTAATACATAAACTAACTTTGATTCATAAAAAAAATTATTTTTCTTCCAAATATTTATGGTAAATTTGGTCCAAACATAATTTGATAAGACTTATTCGATTTTACCATAACTGCTTTCAACACATAGACTTGTCCTCTTTATTAAAAATATAAGATTGAGAAAAGGTGAATATTTCCTTTGGGGTAGGTTTCCTCCATAAATGAGATCAACAGAAGTTTTTTTAGTTAGAAAATGTGATAAACGAGTTGAACGAAGATGTGGAGAACAGTGAAACGTTTAATTTGTTTAATGGCTAGGTACCGTACATTTAGGATCACAAGGACTATGATGCTTTCTTTGGATTAAGTGTATACAGTATTACTACCCTACATCACCAAAATCCACTTTTCTTAAGAATATATTGCTGTCTAATCACTCTTTGTACCATCTTTTACTCTAATTAAATAATTAATACTCCACCTGTAAGGAATCTTTCTCTTCATGTAGGATTCTTAAGAACAATTTTAAAACTTATCAACAATAAACAAACTCATCAACACCACTTGAAGTACGTGATTCTTCAATTACTGCATGCACATTATGTTAATGTGAGAGAACTAGAAAAACAACTAGTTCATCCAATTCTGTGATACCTAAAATTGAGTGCAATGTCAGGCCTTAAAACATAAACTCAGATATCTTCACTAGTAGCCACCTAGACATAGGATACTTGTATGGTTTTGTTTATTGTTAAAACAATCCTTTGACTGCAATCATATCTCCAAATCAAACTGAACAACTTTTGTCTGAAACTGGTTTCTCGAATAAACTCATATATCACTATGAACTTTGATATTTAACTTTGATATCTTAGAGATGCTGTTTTAGGTCTTCACTAAGGGTTGACAAGCCCCCTTCAAGCAGTGATGCATAATAATTTGCTTAATCTTACCTCCAAATAATCATTGCCAAGTATCAGATTATGATTTCTGAAATAATATTTTGCTTTGATTTCAATACCAATAATAGGATACTCCATACATATATATGTGTGCCTAGATAGTTATCAACTTTGAAGTGTCTCTTTTCCTCTCTAAGTTGGCATTCCATTATAGACTTGGCTTGAAATCCATTATTATTAGACAACATAGAAAACCAAGAAAGACTCAACGTTGTGGACTTGGTTGCCTGCCACTCTCCTTACAAGAAGTGTTTATTTGCTGAAGAAACAAATGTATGTACCTTCCTTCAAGTTCATTACTAACCAACATTCTAGGATATATTCACATGAAACTCGGGGAAAAAGCTCAACTCAAGCACTGTACTTATTGAAATGGACAGAAGATTCTGGTTCCATCCATTAATAATTCACTACAACAAGGGCTAAATGATGCATGGGACTAGTGTTGTGAGGACTGTTGCATTTGGAAAACAATGTTCTGCGTCTGAGGTCCCAAGTAAGAAGACTCGTTATGCAGATTCTGTGCTTCCATTTTAACCCCAAAGGAGTTAGCACCATAAGGAGACATGAAGACTCTTTCATGAGCAGGGTTGAAAGTCATAGCTATTCCTGTGCTTGACTGATTACTCCACTGAAAATGAGTTGTGGGTGTAGTTGGAGTAGAATTTGGCTGCTGCTGCTGCTGCTGCTGCTGTGAGAGCACATGTGGTGAGGTGGATCTGTTGGTGTCTTCTGAAGAAGTTGTGGATGTTTCTGTCAGATTCACTGTTGTTATGTCATGTATGCTGGCCCTTCTCTTGTCTTTGCCTCCTGAAAGTTGCCTTATGAAGTACTTCTGAGCATGGCTAGCCACTTGTGTTGGGGTTCTAGAGATCACAAAATTGCGAGAAATATTTCTCCAATCACCTTTCCCATATTTCTTCAGACCCAGTAAAAACAATCTGCAGGGAACATCCATGGGATGTTTAAATTCCAAAACTTTAAAGTAAAGAAAACAACTTTTTCACCTAACAAACCCCCCCAAAATGACATGGCTATCAATTGAGAAAAGTAAAATCCAACCCTTTAATATCTACACTGAATTCTTGTCCCTACACCTCTTGCTTTAATTAACATTAAATTCTATCCACCAATTTTGGCTTTTTCACACCATGCTTTGAAACAGATATACATTGCCAAGCGATCATGATATCATATATTAAAATCTCTACATGTACAGTTAGCACCATAAAAAAACAGTATGTGTAAAAACAATTGCAAAAGGTGAAAAAATTTACTTATGTTCATCTTCAGTCCAAGGCACTCCTTTCTTCCTTTCCTGCTCATGAGGTCTCGCTGAGGATGATCTCTTTCCACTTCCTTTGAACCCATCATAACCAGGACTGTTCACCCAATCTAAGGTGAAGGGTGAAGTAGCAGTGCTATAACCAGGAACAGGGATTAACCCAGCTTCTATATTGCTAACATCAATTTCAAGTTCTTTGTACTGCTTGATCACATCAAGTACTGTCTTTCCAGGAATCATTTCAGCCACTTTGTGCCACCGATCTGGAGTATCTTTATCATGCACTGCAAGAGCATTTTCAAAGAGTTTGTTCTCTTCAGGAGTCCATTTTGTGCTCCTGTTATTTTCCAGCAACCAATTGGTGTTGGAGTTTGGAGAACAAGGTGTAGGAGAAAGGGCTACAGTTTCCCACTTCATCAGTTCAGTTTACAAGTTCATACAATCAAATTTGGGCTTATTGACAGGAAAATTGAAAACTAAGGAAGATAAATCAAAGAGAAATGAAAACAGAAGTTGAAGTTTTACAAGAACAATATCAAGGATAAACCCACAAACATTTTGAAGGAAACCAGAATACCTTTCTCTGAGAGTAGAAGACCGTCAGGAATCTAGAAAAGACCCACTTGATCAAAAAGATCAGAGAGAATGCTCCAAATTGATGATGATGAATGAAAACTATTATCCGTGACTCAATTGGTCTAAATTCTAACAAGATCACAAAAAGCAGCAATGACCCAGAAAAGAAATGAAACTTTTCAGGGAGAAAAAAAATGGAAAAGCAAGAGGAGAACGCAAACACAATGAATGTGATAAGTGTTAACCCAATTAGGAAACAAAAGAGAGAGTCAAGAGTTTGAGAGCAACAGATAACAGAGAAAGACTTATTCAGATGGAGAGGAAAAAAAAAACTTGTTCTTTCTCCCTTTTTCCTTGTCTGTGTAACAAGGAAAGGAGAAGAAATAATAATAAAGAAAGGAACTGAGCAGAAAAAATAATTATAGGATCCTGAAGGAAGAAAGAGGTGTTGCTGAAAAGCAAGTGAGGATGGTTGAAGGAATGAATTTAAACAAAATTCCAAGATTTTTGAGCCTAAAATAAAGTGAAGTTGATGTTGTTGAGTTGTGATTGGATATAATGTGATTGTGGGGACTGTGTCTGCAACTATAGCAAGAAAGAAAGTTCTCTCTTCCTATATAATGGACACCATCGCTTCTGCAGTGACATTTTTCATACAGATAATAATTCTTACTTCATAGCTTTGCAATTTGCAATGCCTTTCTTTATTCATTTAATATTTTTATTATTCTGAATTTTCTTGTCTTCCATTGGTTGGAATTGCGACAAGAAATGAGGATTGGCAGCTCATCATAAATGATGGAAGAGCCAACTGCTACGCACTAGTCAATCACACTCTGCTAACATCATTTCTTAATTCTTTATTTATAGCATGCAAACACTTAAGCCAACTGTTTAAGTTTTTTTTAAACTATTTTTATTTTCTTAATTACTTTTTATTTTCATAATATGATTTCTTTTAACGTTTTAAAATAACCCACTTAACATGAAATCACTTGTATAGTCTTACTATGATCACACTATTTCTTTCTCATTTTTGTTAAATATAAAAGGTATTTCAAAACTATATATGTGAAAGCAAAACCTTGATTAGGCATATGATAATTAAAATTCTCTTAAATTAAATTGCTAGTTTGACTTAAGAAATAAAAAAAACATGTTCAATTGGTGTAAACCAACATGAGTTGATATTTTAATTGGCTATTTTTCAACTAGGTCTAGTTAGACTAGCTAGACTCGGGTATTAACCCATAACTTTTTTAAACAAATTTGTCAGCACTAATAAATTTATCTATTATGTATTCTTTTTCGTGCAATATTAGTAAGCCTAAATTGAGTATAACAATAGATTATTTAGATATTATATTTTAATAGAGTAAAAGTCAGGAATAAAAAAAAAAGTTGATAAAGTAATTAAAATACGTTACATTCTCATAAGGTAGAATTATATATTTTTGTGCAAGAGACAAAAATTTATGCCTATAGATTTAACTTTGATCATCAAATTTCTAAAATTCAAGATAAATATAAGGTTACAGTGGAGTTTGATTTTTCTAGAATTGAACGGGTATAACAACATTTGTTGTCATTCACATTAATTTTGAATTACACCCGTAAAATAGATTAAATGTATTTTTAAATTTTAAATCTTCACTTAAAATTAAAATTTATTTATTTTTCAAAGATATATTTTAGTTTTAAAATTTAAAATAAGTAAATATGTTTCTTTTAATCAATTATGTTAATTTTTTAAAAATAATATTCTAAATTAAGTTAAAATGTATCGAATGATATAAATAGTTTTAAATTAAAAAAATTATATTCATTTTTAAAATTTAAAGATTAAAATATATTGAAATTTTGAATAGAAAATAATTTTAATTTTATATCTAAGTTTAGAAATTGAACATATTTAATCCTAATAAAATTAAATGTATATGACCCATTATTTATTAAAATGAAAAAGAAGAATATATGAAGTGTCAGAATCATTAAAAACGCACCCAAAACCCCTCTGAACGGACGTCAGGTGTCAAGCTGAGGGGAGTCAGAAATCAGATAGTGGAATGCAGGTGTCAGCAGAGGAGCGGACGTTCGTTTTAAACAAAACTGATTTTTCTGAAATTCGCGTCACACTCTCTGCCTGCACTCTTCTCCAAAATCTGATCTTTCATTTCTCCTTCTTCTCTCTAAAAAGCTCTCACTTCTCTCTACCGAAACTCACCCTTTCTCTTCTCCGATCTTCATTCAGGCACCGTAGAAGCACTTCCGGCGTCCCAAGCTTCAGTTTGAACCGATTGGTTTCGAGTTCTGAACGGGTAAGTTCTTCTTGTTTTTAGTCGTTCGTTCTCGTACACATGCAAACCAAGTTCTGGTTACATGAGTTCTTATTTTCATTCTAAACCATTTTGGTCTATTGTTTAATTATGGTTTGAAGAGTCGTTGAGCGTTGAGGGTAGAAGGAATTGTAATAAGGCGAACCGTAATCGGTCTAGGACGTTCATTCACGCTCAGAGGTAAGGGAAGCTTATCTAATTGAATTGTATGTTCGTTGCTCGTTCGTTGATAATGAATGTATGTTGTTGAGTGGTTGAATGTATATAAAGTATGAATGCTGATGTGATTGTTTATGTGGAATATGATTAATTAGTATGATATGGATTGTACGAAGTATGCAATTTGATTATGATATGAATTTATAAAGTTATGAAATTTTGTATTGAGAAATGAGTTGAAGATAAATGAATTTTGAATATGAAATTCCACTATGATAGTGTACGTTCGTTACTGAATGGTCATTTACCGTTCGGTAATGGTAGTAAACTTAGTTGAAATTGGACTCTTTCATTTGGAAAGAATCCTAGTTGAGGACGAGCGTCTTCGTATTGTAATACTATGCTTGAGCGTTCGGCCAAGCGTAGTTGCATCTGAGTATTCGGTAATGAACTTAAAAATTTGTAAATATATGTATTTGTATATTTTAGTTATTCTTAAACACAATTTCAATAGTATTTTATTATATTCATTAATCTTTCTATTTTAAGTTTAGTAGTGCTCGGTCTCACACCAAGCTCTCAAAATGAGTAGTGTTCGGTCTTATACCAAGCGCTTGTACTCATTTATGGTTTGATCTATCTTGATGAAATAGCGTTCGTCTAACTTTAGTAGAATTTCCCTTTACCGTGTTCGGTCATTGACTGACATTAGGTTTATGTAGGTGAATTCTTCTAAAGTATGGTTCTTTAAACGTCTTGACGTGTCTACATTCATTGGTTCCGGCCTAGAGCCTCAGTACTTGATATGTTCTTTGAGTATTGGTTTGAGCTCACGAGAGTAAGTTCATTTAACTGATTCATGTTATAAGTAACGTTCGTCATATATTATATAATTGTACTTGGTTTCTTCCTCAATCTGACAGTAACCCTCTCGGTCTTATTCTATTCTGGGACGGGAGACTTCTCTGTCTTGTTCCTAGTATTCATCCTCGTTCTGAGTGAGGACTGAATGTTTGGTATTTGATGTTCTTAAAATCGGTGAACAAAGATGAAATGAAAATGATGGATAATGAAAGATGAAGAGAATATGAGATGGATGAAATGTTGTGGATTTTGAACGAGCGTTCCAGGGAGGAACGACTCATGAATGAATATTGGAATTTGTAAAGTATGAATTTGGTAATGCTAAGCTGTCGGTTCATCTTGATGTTCCGTGAGTACTCGTCCTCACGTAGAGGAGGGTAGGTCATGTGTGGGAACGGCAGGAGGTCCTAGTCCTTAGGGGTACTTTGGACAGATAGGACTAACCTCGTGTGGCAGTTGTTGGGGGCATCCCAGTTACTACATCACCCGGGTGCACGAACGTCTTAGCTACACAGACTTCATACAGTCCGGACAGTCAGTCTAGTAGTAGGCCTTGATTGAAACGTATGTTGAAATGTACCTTATGTTTTTGAATTTGAGAAATGTATGTTTATACTTGAATTAAATTATATAAGCTTACCCTGTGTTTTTCCTGTGTTGTTGGGTTTTGTACGTCCGTCTTTGTCATTGCAATGACCATCAGTGTGGATGTGAGCAGAAGGAGACGAGCTGCTGGAAGAGGCGCTGGAAGAAGAAAATTTGGTAGAAGTAGAAGTGAAGACCGAACCGTAGGACGTTCGGTCAGTAGTTTAGTTATTTTGTAAGGTGGTCGTTCGATCACCTTCTCCTTTCGTTTTGTATGACCATCTGATGTTGACTTTTGTAAACCGTTCGGTCAAAATTGCTTATCTTGTACAGTTAAGTTTGTAACTCTTTTTTTAAGGTCGTTAGGCCATAACCGTACGTTCTCTTTTAGTGTAAGACTGATCTGAATTATTATGAAATGTTATTATTCTATTATATAGTTTTAGAGTGTACTTTTGGAATGTTATATGAAGTGTCCAAGAAAAAATTAAACATCAATAAATTAAGAGAATTTTCTACAACGTTATTTAACATTTTTTATCCATGTGAACTGGAGGTATTAAAGAGTGGTGTTAATGGTATTTTATTAAGGAGAGAAACTGATAAGATTTTTTTTTCTTTTATAAACACTGCCACATTTAATAACATCTGTCCCTAAAACTTTTGTTTATTAACATCACTATATATAAAACTAATACTAACGAGTGACTTTAGGTATTAATTAATAAAACCTAAAATAGAAAAATTCAGTATTAATGTAAATTTACAGTAACTTTTAATCTTTAGTACATTTTTAATTAAAAAATGACATTAATATCCTAATTATAGAAATATCAAAGAGAATTCTCCGTTTATATTTATAAGATCATTTTCAGGAAAAAAAAAGTACTATTTTTCATAAGATTCCTCTGTAATTGAATAACACATTAATATTTTTCCGCACTAATTAACATGTTTTTATGGTTAAAAATAATAAAATATTTAAAATGAATAATATCATATTTTTTCCTTATCCGAATTTCAGAATATAAATACTCAAGCATCATTTTAAATACAATAAAATTATTTTTGAAATATTAATATAAATCATTAACCAATTTCTTATTTTCAACTAAATTTTTAGAATACTATGGATTGTTTAAAACGATGTTATAATAGGAACAGACGGAGTTATTAAGAAAGTGAATAATATAATTTGTTATGAAGAATCTAGTTAAAATACATAAAATGTGAAAATAAAACAAAATAGCAATATTTGAATTTAAAAAAATTAGACAATACTTAAAGTATATAATATTGTTTAAAAAAGTTGCGAAGCCCGAGGTAGCCGCCAAAGCAACGGTTGAGATGTATGGGTGGTAAATGACACGAAACAGCAAGTTGATGCGGTGGGTCCCACAAATGGTTACAACATAACTCACGTCGTTTTCTCATTCGGTGTCTTCCCAAAATAATTGTAGCATATTTAGAATCTCTAGGCGGTGGGCCCCACCCTTTCAGATTGCAACACGTGTGGTTTTTTCATTGGTTCTGACCACCGTTGTACCAACCAACCAATGACCTCCCTTTACGGTAACAAGGTACAGTAAGCTATAAAAGCAGGTTTTTTGTGCATTTACTTTTGGCTATGCATCCATACCACTGTAACAATACTCGCTTCTC